ATATATATATATATAAAAGAAGAGGCACCGAATATGAAGCGGTCGAGGCTTGTGCTCCTGAAGAACTCATAGATGAGTAGCCGTTCTTTTCCTTGTAAGCAGAAACCTAAAAGCCTGGCCAAGTTCCGATGTTGAAGTTTCGCAACCAACAAAACCTCGTTTATGAATTCGCTGTCTCCTTGTCCCGAGTTCTCTGACAACCTCTTCAGTGCTACTTCTTGTCCGTTTTCAAGCACACCCTGAGACAAAGCACATGTTAAAGAATCGAACAAGATATCGAACTCAACGTTACGATTCATCACGTGCCTTGTAAACCGGACCGAACCCGCCTTCTCCGAGCAGATTTTCGGGAGAGAAATCATTCGTTGCGGCTTTTATTGTACCGAAATCCATTTGCAAAAGGTCCATACTTGACATCTTGTTATCATCATCATCATGGCCTGATGATCAAAAGCAAACATGTGAAAAAAGGGCTGCAGTTCACATGACGATCATTTAGTAAAAAAATTAAACCAGACCGCACCCACCTTCAATGTTCTCTCTCTAGGGTTCCTTTTCTTCATCTTTAGGAAGAAGAAAAAACAAGCTACAGTTATGGTAAGAGCAATGACCACAGCGGGAATGACTGTCGCTATGATGATTTTCCACTTTTTGTTGTTGTTGTTGCTGTTGTCGTCGTCTCCTGAAAAAGGAAATGCTGTTTTTTCGGGTGTTACCAATTACAAGATTGATAAAAAAAATGTAGAAATTGCGTTTTTTTTAATCTTTTCAGTATAGAATCTGCATATACGTTATTATTACAAGAACAATCTGGTTTAATATCCGAATTTATTTTGGGAGGGACTGGGGCGGTTCGGGATCCGGCCCGAAGGGCCGTATGGCGGGTTCCCACCGATATAAAAAAAAAACAATCTGGTTTAACACTTCGATGCTCAAACTCGAAGTGTGGAGTAAAAGGCAACTTAGTAGATCTATTACCTCGTTTTGTGCACGTGTCTTAAAACGTTTTAATCTTTATGATATTCTTTCATTCTATACTATTTCTTTTATGGGGTAAAGATTCATCAAAGACATATGTAACCGAGACTGAGAGTGGTCACTCTTGATAGTTTATAACAAAATCCACAAGGAAATATCAAATTTACCGCTATCGCCATTCACTGTAGTGGGTGTTTTGATGACAGGGCCATCAGGCTCATACTCCAGCTCATAGAATCGCCAGTCACTCTCTACCCTGAAGTTGCAGCTCGGACAAAACCACCTGATCCCAACCCTCTCCCGCAACTGGGTCACGTTCCTGAATCCATAGACAAGGCAGTCGTTGCAGTCTTTTTCAGACAGATCCGGCATACACTGAGCTACGGCGAAGAATCTCTCGTATGGGGCAGCAGCAGAGCCATTTCCTTGAGCATACTTCCTCATACTCCCTCCTGATGCAGCCACGGCTCTCACTCTGTTCAACAGCTCGCTCTGCAACCTCACGAACTCATCTGTGTCGGCCGATGCAGTGTTATTAGGGTTCGGAGCCGTCAATACAGGGCTCGTCTCCATTTTTCCGATGATAGGTCTGTTCGCATAACGGAACATACAGCGCGTGTATCAGACGAGGGCTTCTTTCGTTTCCGGACACTGTCTTGTCAGATTCTCCGCGGCTTTGGAGATGCAGCTCAGTCAATCTAGTCTGCTGAGTTCTCTTCTACAGAGTCCAATGGCTTCTACTCCATGGTCGGAGGTTTCTCCGACAGAGATGTTGTAGAAGCCGTATGTGTTGGAAGGGAGAGACGGGATCGAAGAGTATTGGAGTATATTGTGTAATCTGCATATACGGGAAGTTGTTATTATTGCATATTCAGTTTCCTTATTTTTAGCCTAGGTTGAACGTCTTCGTTCTGTATAAAACTGCACAGCACATGTTGAATGGAACCAAGTTTTTCTGTTCATCTTCTGTGTTCAATTCCTTCGGTCTGATCCGTGTCAAAGAGACAAGTCTGTTCAGATTGGCGGCGAAGGCTGTCTCAGATGAGAAGCTGCTCTTTGGAGATAAACAGTAAAACTTTGGATCGAATTCCCACATGTCTTTCTCAGTGTTGATCTGTGCTGAGATATGGAAGGGAAGAAGGGTTAGGACAAAAACGAAGAACAAATGTCTTTTGGACGAGGAACAAGAAGAAGAAGAAGAAGAAGAAGAATCGATCTCGGTAGGTTCCATGAGAGTTGTTCACTCTGTTAATGCTGCAACTACGTTGGCGGGGTGTATTTATTGATTATTAATATTAATAAATTAGGGATAAAATAAAAATCAAACCGCGTGTTTGGACGACTGTGTACAAGAGGAGTTTGACTTCCCATGGGCTGGGGAACGTGTATCAGACGGGTCTTGGTGAAGCGAACGGAGTCTATATGCATCGATGTCTGTCAGTCACTTTTTTACTGTTCCATGACCGTACAATTCAGCAATATCTATACTACGTTTTCTTTAATAGAAAAAGAAAATTACAACTTTCGTATATATATATATATAATATGTATGTATAATGTAACATTTGGATGTGGTGGTGTATAATTCGGCTGTTCGCAAATGAATGAAAAAAGTAGGGTGCCAAAAAAGTCCGAAGTCTGATACCCGACTGGTTTATCTGTCAGATTGGAGTCTGATACCCGACTGGTTTATCTGTCAGATTGGACCGGCTCGCCCGGTGAGACCGAATAAAATTTAAAATATTTTTTTATACGAGTAAGTACATATGCACACGTATATATATGCATTCATATATATTCACATTCACACATTTAATCATATATATATATATATTTATACATACATTCAATCTTATATATATATATAATATACACCTATACCCTTACTTTACTATTCCTACTTCAACACATATCATTCTCCAGCTTGACCATGTGATCCATGTGACCCAAAATATACTGTGGTCATATATTGATTGTATTGATTATAATGTTAAATTTATGGTGATCTCACTAATTTATTATGTTCATATATTATATATCTTACTAATTATTTGATTAAAACATCATAAATTTAACGTTATGATGTGACCATAGTATATTTTGGGTCACATGATTACATGATCACATGTGGAGAAGGGTATGTGTTGAAGTAGGAATAACAAAGTAAGGGTATTTTTGATAATGCCCCTAATAAAACATATCTTTTGTTTTTGGATGTGTGCATGTATATAACGTCGTACTGAATATTGAAGGTTTAATAGAAACCTAATAGAAACCTTCTAGCAAAGTTAGAGTCTTCGGTCTTTCTTGTCAAAATCAGCCAAAAGTTTTATCGATTCAGTCACATACACACATTTATTAAACGTATTATTAAGTAATTTTCATTAAAAAAGTTATTAAGTTTGAAAGTAGAAAGAGAAAAGTTAACCAAAAAAAAAAGTAGAAAGAAAAATACATAAACGAGTAATATTATATATTTCGTGTGTGTGTGTTGTAATAGTAAAGATGGGATAAAAAGCTTGCAACTCATCATCGTGTCTTAAGGAGGCCGAGGCTATATTTATAATATACATATATGTATGTATAGTTTTGGTTTCCTTAAAAAAAAAAATCAAATGACTAGGTAAATACAGATCGATGACCTCAATTCCTTAGCCATCCCATTTTTCATGGTAACCTTTTTTTTTGGTCGGAGGGATATTAAAAAAGGTCCCACCGAGATTTGAACTCGGGCTATTGGATTCAGAGTCCAATGTCCTAACCCCTAGACCATGGAACCGTTTGCTGCAATAATTACACAGAAAATAAATGTATGTTTCTCCATCCAGAACTTAAAAATAAAACGATTTAAAAAAAATCAAACGGAACAATGATAATGGACAGTTACTCAACGCCTCGAATATACGAAAGAGATGTTTCCAATATTACAAATAAAACAAAAGTAAATTCAGAAACTGATCGATTAATAATACAATACAATACATCTGATCTCGACGTAAAAAACTGAAACACACTTCATTTAATCAGCCAAGGCCCACAGCACCCTATAAATAACACAACCCACAGTTTTTTGAAAAAGAAGAAAGAAGAAAGAAATGGGGAGGCCAGGGGTGGTGGTGGTGGCGATGCTCCTCGTTCTAGCGGTGACGCCGGAGGCAAAGCCGTTCTGGGAGAGTTTGAAAGACGCGGTGAAAGAAACGGTGAGCGGGAATTTCCCGGGAGTGGAGATTGGGCTGTCGGAGTTCGGACACCCGTGCTTGAAGAAGATCCTGAATTTCGAGTTCGAGGATCCCGACTTCTGCATCTCCCAGAACGACCCCAGAGCCCCCGACTACCGGAGGATCGAGCCTATTGAGGTCCGCCACAAACAGCTCCTCAAGAAAAGGCCCGACCTCTTCGCCAGGACCTATCCCAACTACTACAGGATGGTGCTCCGCAGACAACAGCGCAGGCTCAAGAAGAAGCGAAGCTCCAGACATCGCTGAACAGACAAAACCTATTATTGTTGGATTATTTATATATATAATAAAAATGGAGAAAGTCTTGTATTTATATAACCAAACTCCTCATTGGTCAGTAGAGAGAAAGAAAACGTCTGAGAGGTTGACTCCCGACCAAAAACAACCATCAAAGATACATGATAGCTTTGTTCTCGTGACAAACAAAGACAACTTTTGTCTTATAACAATAATCTACACAACAGAGGAGCGAAAATCCCACGTGGATTTTTTTGGTCATTTCTTGGCCAGCAATTTCTTGGGGAGTTCGTGGAAAGGTGTTGATTTCAGGAGGAAGAGCCTCGATGCTCGTTCTTGAAGGGTTCCTCCGCATTTCATCCCCCTTTTCTGAAGCTCCATTTTCAATCTTTCCATCCCCAGATTCTGTCCAAAATACAAATCATATTTCAGTGTTGTGCTTTTAATGCAAAACATGAATCGGACAAAAATATGCGAAAGGATTTGTTGAACTGCAGAATCAAATAAAAAAGCATACCTCCATTTCAGCAGCTGAACCGAAATCATCGAAGTTGAGTGGCTTTTCAGACTTATCACTCTTATCATCATCCTCGGCAGCAGAGTTTGTCTCTACTGCTTGGTTCATGGCAGAATCGGTAGCTTCCTTGACAGTTTCATCATTCGCCAAACTTGACAGCATTGAAGGTTGGCAAGCTATTTCCACTGAGTTTTTTCTTTCTTCTCCACTCGAATCCTCCCCCTTCTCGGCTTGACCTGCTTTCTCGCTAGTAACAACCGGTGCATCTGAACTATGGTGGCCAACAACGTCTTTCTCCTCCTCAGAACCACTCCTCTCACATGAAGCTCCACCGGAGGAGTCCCCGTCATGGGCTCGGCCCATAGCCGAGCCTGAGCTTCCCTCTGTATCCTTATCTGATGCCACCTGGCTACCATTCACATCCTCCTCTCCATCTTCCTCATCGCTGCTATCGTCACTGTCACTATCTCCCATAACTCTCTTCCCCTTCCTGAAGAATACAGAATAGCAAAACACTAAGTGACGGCCAGATGATGAAGCCATATCTATCTCACGAGCTTACGCTCAGCCTCAGTTAATCAATAAACAATCAGGGTATGCAAGATATTACAGAATTACAAAGCTCAGGCAGTGTAAATTCACAGACAAGAACTACTCTGATTGATCAATCAAAATCAGTAGGGTTTAATCAACCTAAATCCGGAAACACAAGGCATCAGTTTTAGATACAGACAAGAGGGACCCGTCTATCTGTTATAGCCAAACCTCAAACTAACCATCTTCTGATTCTTTGCTCGTCTCGGCATAAATTTTCGGGATACGATTTTCTCAAAGTTTCAATACTTTTAACTCAGATATCGATCGATCAATTCACCTAAATCCTAGAGGGTGACAGAGAACGTACCATATCTTCAGTCGCTTCGACTTCTCGGAATCTGCACCCGTCTTCCCCTTCCTCTTCCCGTGCTGGAAAGATTCTTTGAGCGCCAGCTCCACCGCCTCGATGCACTTGTCAGATTCTTTCCTATACTTGTCCACGTACTTCTGCACCGCTCCGTCTCCAACGCCTTGCTTCCCCTTCTTCGCCTGCTTCTTCAGAAACTCCTGCGCCAATTTTTCGAGCTTCCTCTCATCCTCCTCTGCCTTCCACTCCTCCAGCTTCTTCTCCGCGTTTACATGCCTCAGCCTCCGCCCACTCATATCCCTACAC